GATATCAGAAGGCTCGTCTAGGACCTTCGTCTTTGAAAAGGATGCGATGAGACAAGGAACTAAAGGAAACTCGGCCCTCTTCCCTTTCCTCCGACCAGCAATTGTTCCCTCTCTTTCCTCTCCGCCATTTTCTTCGATCAGAAATAGGATTCTCATTCTCAGTTTAGTCATTGTTTTAAACAATGGTTTAGTCCTTCGAAAGTGTGCCCGAACGAAATAATGTTGACCAGCCAAGATGTGTTATTTATTTCAGTACAGCTGTCAAGGAAGAAGTTGCAGTTGTATAATAATTCATTATTTAATTCAAGTGAATGAGAAACTTGAACTACTGCGGAATAAAAGAAAAGATCGCTCAAGAGGCTTTTCAGGATCCTGTAACCTGCAGAATATTTGTTTTCTCTGTGGGGACGAAATGACTGCAGAATTTCCAAAAAAACCGTGAGGGAGGCCATGCTAGAAACAGTTGGGCGTCGCGGGGAAGCATGGACCCAACAAATCGTCTTGCTTCTGTAATTGACGGAGTTGCAGCTGATGCTAGGTACACAATCAATGCAGCATCAAATTCAACAAATTTAAAGTCGACCACTGGACTTAAAAGATGGCATTTTGAGCCGAAACACTAAGGGTATGGAGTGTATATCTTACCGTGAGCAATGGACTGGAGTTTCGCACTAATGCCTGCCTCTCTTGTGGGATTTCGCGAATGCCCATACATGCAGGCAAAGTGCGAAGGCTTCGTTCTACCATCCGCACGTCACTATACGCCGCATTTTTGGACATTTCAAATGTCTATATGACCCCTGTCAATCATGAACTTTACCGGCCGCATTTTTGACATTTCCAAATGTCTATAATGACTCCTGTCATCACTGACAGATTGACATTAATCAAAAGTTCTATATAAAAATTGAAATTTTATATTAAAAGATGATTTCGGGTAACATTTAATACAAAGTGTCATTACCTGACTCGGAAATTAAAGTACTCGGTCCCGTCGGGGCCTCGCGCTTCAGTATTTCTTCGCCAGTAATGTATCATTTTCCTGACTTTTATGTAAATAACTATTCCGAACCAAAAACATGAAAATGAACTTGTGGACCACATCGAAGGCGATTTCAAGCCTGACGTTAGAATCTCAACAGCCACCTTGAGAAACGCTTTGGCGACAAGGTAATGTTTTGTGAGATTGGCCGCGTTCAATGGTATACGACATCAGTGAGTATCCTTTACCCAATCTGGGGGTGATGCTCAAACGTTAGGCTGTAAAAGAAAGGGCTTATATTACATTGTCCATTTGTAAGCAGCATTTCATTGATATTCTTGCTATTTTTCTAGGCAGCAATAAGTACCTATGTTAAGTACCTAATCGCTTTAGATGCGCTGTTGAAATTATAGCTACATCAACACTCGGCTATTTCCTATGAAAGTTTTACTAAAAGTGGAAAGATATTAATCTAATTACAAAACAATACCCGTTTGTACAATGTCAGTTGAATCTTCAGTTTAGGCTAATATCTGGATTAAGGATTGGACGGGATTAATGTTTTAAAAGTTACCCAATCCTGCTTCTTAAATCCGTTCGTTAAACTAAACTCAAATACAAACTTAATAAAATTTAAGAAATTGGTTTTCAAGTGCCATATGGTAACCAACCCTATCTAAAATAGACCTATCTACGTAGGAATGTGCTGTTGCTCTCTTGATAGAAGTTGTAACCACGGCCTTCTCTTCTTGTTCCAAATTATCGATATAAATACTCTAACTTTTTACAATGCTATACCACACATACAATTTTAAAATGTTCATTCTTCTCACGACACAAACGATATCCTCAATACATTTTGCATTTATCGTGCCGCAAGAAACAAAACAGTTTAAATGATGTTGTCGCCCTCAGTTTAATCCTATAAACGCTCTATTTGAAAGGCATAGCGGTAGCCTGTTGATACGAAAATCTATACGCTATCTTTGGTACCCGTTTAACCCACCGCCTTTTGTCACGACCAGGCATTCAATGTTATACTCCATTAGCAACTACAAAAGGTCAGAATTCATTCCTGGACTAATCAAATTTTAGTGTAAATCGCATTACCTATTGTTCAGCAGATTAATATAGTGCATGTTCCACTTGACATTTTCGATCGTAATCCCAAATACAACAGACGCCATTATTGACCGCAGTTAATTATAAGTATTATGTGCAGTTTATGCATAACAATGTTTCACCTGTGTATTCCTGCGTTAGGAGAATATTCCATGCAACAAAATATATTAGTTCCCAAAAGAGATGACATAGATGAACTTTGGTTGATGAAATCTTATAAAATTGCATTTCCCGAAAAATTAATGTACTGATAAAAATGTCGGGGAGATCAGATGTCCTTAAATTTGCCTGGTCATACCAAGAAATCCCATACATATATGGTAGTAATTCTAGACCTACCCAACCGAACACAGAAAAGTGGGGAAAAAATAGGACACATAGCTGTAGCGATTTAGTACACGTCACAGGAATATAGGAGCTATTTTATTTTTTAACGTACACAAAATGAATGAATGCATTAAAAATTGTGTTGTTTATTACATTTTGGCAACTACTGTTTTTGTATGATACCGACCGGCGTTAATGGTCGCCACAGTACTCCCTCCGCAGTAACTACTAAATTATTGTAGCCGCAGAAACGTACAGGCGGTTTGGTTTTCTTCCCTAGTCGGGTTGTTGGAAGGGACAATGATCCTCCGGTGCAGTTTTTCCGTTGTTCATCTCTGGCTTGTCTTCTGGTAGGAAAGCGGGTTTCAGAGGAACAATGGCAACGTTAACACTTTTACCATTCAATAAACGGCAGTTTTTCTATGTCGTGCTATTGGACATGGACGAATTTCGCGCATCTGATCTCGAAGTCAATCGACGAAGGCTGCAGGGTTCACGGGGGAATATTGACCATCAAAGAAAAATTCTCCTGGAATTCTGAGCTGGGTTCCATAAGTTCATTCTGTAGGTGAACATCCTGGACCTTCTTTGAAACTTGTTAGTTCAAGGAGGAGCTCAAGCCAATTAGTGTTATGGCACATAATTGCTGCTTTCATGCTTCGATTAAAAAAACAAATAATATCAAAATAAAAATTTATGGTTCAACTTTAGGAAGGAATACGCGTTACAAAAAGTAAAAGAAATATACCAATAAATTACAATAATATATCAATAAATCGAACGAGATTTATTGGTCCTTTTGCTTTACATTTTTTAATTTCAAAGATCACAGCTATTTCAGTGTTGCCAATAACACAAGAAATAAATCGTTTGATTTATCAAACCTTATATTTTTTGGAAAATCTTTGGATTCCGCGGAACCTTTATTTTTAAATTCTGTCTCCTAAATCTACAGATTCCTCCAATTTATCCGGGTTTTACAACTACTTTCGTTTCTTCGGGTGTTTCAGATTCGTTAGGTTGTCATTTTTTTCTGCGTTTTATATTTACCAGATTCCGAAAGACCTTTTACAAGCTTACAGATTCGCTCGTAGTCAAACGTCGTAAATGCCAGAACGACTTATCGCATTCAGCAGCCACCTTTCAAAACACAAGTTTTCAAATTTAAATCTTTAGATCCAACGGTTACGTTTGAGTTTTTAAAATTCAGTCGTAACTCTCACTTGACACGAACCAACCTCAATTTTAAGACTTGAGACTCAATGAGGCTTCGAATTTTTCTATGAAGTTTTTAAACTTATGTTTTAGAAAATTTACGTTTAATTAACTAAAAATATTCCTGAGCTCCTTCCGACTTCATTATGAAAATTTCAAATAAAAACCTTACAACATGTACCTTTCCATTTGTCAAAATTCAAACGTCAAGTGGAAAATTTTCAATTTTGAGTTAGTAAACCTGAAATGGTGCCAACGCGCATTTTCCAAGTCATCGGTTAAAAAATATTTGGAAGATCGTGCGTTTCTTTTCAAAAATAAAAATTGTCACGCTCAAAATTTTATTTTAATTGGATTCTAGATACAAAATCGTCAAATGTGGTTTTATTTAATTTTTACTTTGCAGTAATGGTAATGGAGATAAGGACGTCGCGCGATGGCGAGAAACTATTTTCCTCCACCTGTAATCGTCGTCACTCGTCAGTAACCGCCCGAACGGGAATGAAAACGAGTTAATTATGCATCGTTTCGTGTCTGTTAGGGTTAATCGTTTTTCTTCTCAAGCGAAGTTGAATTAATGAAAGGGTAAGTTTTCACTTTTTCTTTATGGTGTGCAAAAAACGAAAAAGGCAACGTTCTCTGAAAGTCTTTTCGGACGAAAATAGTCAAAATTTTCCAAAATAAACGCGACTGCAACTTCCATTCGATGGGTTTATGTATTTTTTTTTGCAAATAAATCATTAGGAACTGTTTTGAATGCAACCGCGTAACCTAAAGGTCAAAAAATGGCCCATTCGTAAAGTACCGTGGTCCTATATACTTCCTTCCTTTCATTCAAAAACGTTGAATTTAATTTGCAACGTGTGTTTGAAGATAAGGCGTTAGTCATAAAATCAGGCGTTGAAAACAATTCCTCTAGTGTGACCATATGTTAGTGCTTGCAACTAAATAAATTCATTAAATTTTGTAATTTTGAGTTACTCATCTTTTTAAGCACGTAATTGTGACGGCTCCGTTCCAAAACTGCGGGGAATAGCCAAAAGGAACTTATTTCTTTGGGGATTTTGGTCATTTTTATATCGTTTTACAAAAACTTTAAATTTACCTTTTCCAACCGAAGCTGCTCGTGTTTTTTTTAATTTGTTTTGCGTAAATGCTGGGGGTGTTTTGGCACAAATTAAGTGGTGGTCAAAATTGTTTTTTTTGTTGGTAGGGCAAATATAAAAATATTTCCATTTCTCTCTTCTTTGTGTAGGTAACTCAAGACAGTGTTGCGTAAAAGACTTGCGTACCTCGTTTATCACATCTCGAGGATCAACTCAAAAAAGGTGAGTGGTTATAATTATTAACTTACCTGGTCATCAGAGATCGTCTCTGGTGAGAAAAGATGTCACTTTGCACTGTAATCACAGAGAAATCTAAATGAATTGTACCTACTGTAATGGATGAAATAATGAATTAACAAACGAACCGTCCTATACAGGGTGATTTTTTATGGGTAGCATGCAAGTTTTGATACTGAGAGGGCTTAGAGGGATACCTACCAAACTCTAGTACACCTTAACCTATTGCACATAATTTTATGACCCTAGCCGGGGGTTGGCACCCATATGAAATCTAGGTTCCGGTTCCGCAATACTTAGATAGAATTATATTTCAAGGGTTCTGGTACCGGTTCCGATTCTACAGACCCAGAATCGTATATTTCCCAAGTTTGTCGGTCATTTTATCTGGCGAAAAAACACCAAAAAGCAAAAGGTGATGATTTAATCAAAATGTAATACGGTACTTGCAAATTTAATTTGCGACGCAAAATAAAAGCAAAAAGATCCCCCCTAAACAACCGATGTTGCTTAATAAAATTCGTCTGTTGCAGGGAGGGAAAGTAGGAAATTCCAAATCGGGGGACGTGTCGTTGCGATAAAGTTCGAAAACTAAAAATTCTTTAATTAATTGTGCGACCTGCGGCTGTCCTAAAAATCTGCAATTTATATCAAAATTCAAATTAATTAAGCGTGCTTCCAATGATTAATTATCCTCACTCCAGTGGCAGGGTTGAAATTTCCAAATTCGGTAAACCCAGCACTGCCCATTGTTACCTTGAATTTCGTGTCAATCGTAAAAGGTCTGCGATAATGAAATAAACTGCACGGCCTTGCGGCTTTAATGCTCGTTTAAAATATACCATAGAAAATAAAACCAGCTAATAATGGTTTATCATGTCTGAAATTCTAAAATATTAATTTGCTCTTTTCTTCTCTGGTAAGAGAGCCTCCAGCGGCTGTAAAAACAACTTAAATATTCCTAGCGAAACGATTGCAAATTTGATAAATTCGCTACTTAGCTTACGTGCGTTATGGCCGGTAAGGCAAACAAATAACAAAATGAAAACACACAAAGCTCGTCTCCTAGGAAACATAAGTAAATTCAGAAAGTATGAGCCCAACTTTATACGCTTCTAGATACCGAGTGTTCAGCAAGTCTGGTCGACTTTTTAACGTACAGAGAATTAATCAATTAAAAATTGTTTGTTTTTGTTACCTTGACAAGTACCTACTGTTCTCGTTTTTCTAGGGTGTGCCAATTGGCGTTAATGGTCGCCACATAGTTTTCCCTAGTTCGATTCTCGTTCAATGGCTTCTTGACAGTAACAATATTATTTTGATCCATCCGTGTAAAATCCGCAAGTTGAAATTGGTCTCTAAGCGTCCATTCTGTGTTAGTTTGTGTTGAATATTATTTATAAAACTTTTTCGTCATCCCATACTGTTATTTCAATTTAACTCAACTCATTTGACAAATGAAATATCATTCATAACGGACGGCGTCCGTTAAAAAATAACGGACGCATATGCGGCCGTTAAGAAATAATGCTTTTATTGAAATACAAACAACTACTTATTATAATGAATATGAAAATTAAAGTGACAGTTATTATTGCTAGAAATCTGTAGTCCATCGTAGGAAACTTGAGGACCACTATCACCTGTTGATGTTACACTTGATGAAGAAGCTGTGGCTATGGATGTTGTAATTTCAGAGTTTCCATTGGACCTTTGAAATAGTTGTTTTGTGATTTTTAATCGCTTCGAAACAGAATTTTCAATATACGACTCCGCTACCGCAGATGAATCCCAGCCTCCAAGTTCCTTCACTGCTAGGAGATCGCCACCATTTTCTGCAAGCATGGTAGCGGATGACCTCCGAAACGAATGGCCCGTGTATAACTCTGGGTTTTTTAATTTTAAGAACTTAGCAATTTTCCTGGGAACACCCCCAATGGTATGAATGCCCACAACCTGCCTAACACACTTTTCTTTGCGGTAGACAATGAAAAATCGCCGAGTTTCTAAATTTTGAGGACGTTTTTCCGCGTATTTTTTGTATAACTGATACGCATTGAAGGGAAGTCCTTCTTTCGGAATTAGAAACACTCTGCTTTTCTTATTTTTTGTGATCCGCAATGTAACTATTACGTTTTTGTTGGTGTCTTCAAAGTCCTCCACGTTCAACTTCAAAAGCTCATCACCCCTACAAGCGCCAAATATTCCACATATTAAGATGACTTTTTCTAGGAGCCATACACCATCATCAGCTTCCAATAAAAATGTCATGACTTGCTCTTCAGACAAAATGTTAGACTTTTTTGGTCTGTAACCTTCAGACTTTCTTTTCAAAAAGGCGAATAATTTTCCGAATCTGTAATGTAATAAACATCCCCAATACACAATAAATACACTACATGAATAAATTACCAACCTTGAAATGTCAATGTTGTCATATACCTTCAAAGTGAGTTTCAACATTGAAACTTTTGTCCATAATGAATTGGGCGAGTACATTTCCGATTTTCCCTTTACGTACGCTAATAACACGTCTTCATTTACTAAATTGATCCTCTTAATCTTAAGCCATTCCTTGAAATCTTCGTATTCTTTTTGATATCGCTCCCTGGTCTTTTCTGGTAGCAAATCGACACTTGCAGCCATGGAGTCTGCTAATACGTCTGGAGGAATATTGATATTTCCTTCAATTACGTCCATATTTTTGGAAAACCGTCGTAGAGCTTCTCAGCACGCGTTTTTAACGAATTGTTTATTTTTCAGTAGTTGCGTCCATGACAACCGCTAACATGTGACCATAAGCATACCATGATCAAGATAATTATTATATTTAAGTATTGCGAAAAGATGGATCTTTATGAAGTCGAAATATATAATTTCCACATAATGGGATGACGAAAAATCTTGAACGACACACGGCCGATACGCAAATAACGGACTTGGTTGAATATAAACCTCGGCTGACGCCTCGGTTTACAAACTTCAACCACGTCCGTTATTTGCTACATATCGGCCTTATGACGTTAATAACTATAACGTTTGTGGTCTGTGAACTAAATCTACAACGGTCCGGCTCCAAATTGAGAAAATAAAGTATCACTTTTCCTTCCTGAGAGGCGAAAAGTGCCAGTAACCAATTGTGTCATAGGTCACACACAATTGGAGTGGTCTACACTGAATTCATTTTCACTATTATATTAAATAGAATTGAACAAATAGGTAGATAATATTAAAGAAGTTCTTTAAAGAGGTACAGCTAATAATCTCACTTCTTTAGTATTTCACTGGTACCACAATCTTTTTGTACAGGGGCGGGTGTATTGATTAAGTTACGGAAAAACTCATTGAAATGGTTGCGGCAGCTTTGTATTTCTTTCGTCTACGTGGCCCCGTTTGTGCTGCCTTTACATTAAGACGAATGCGCTTTAAAACACGTACCTAATTCACTTTAGGATTAACGCTTTACCTGACGTTATTGATTCAGAACGGTCGTGTTACAGTAGTCTTCTCGAAAATTTGATTAAGCTCCAATTCAAAGTCCGATCTTGTTCAGCTTCTTTTATTACTCTGAATACCCGTGCCTAACCACGCGTTCAGGACTTTTATTACTTACACAAATTGCGAGTTTGCTCCCTTATATTAGTTAATTTGTCATTATTTATTCAAATTAGGTAGCCATGTATTTATGTAACAACGAATCAGGCTTATTGCAAGTAATTGGGTTGACCATCCTTCGTTGAAGAAATAATTATATCATATTATAATTTATTAACTGAATCCGAATAGGAACTTATAACGACCTCCGGCCTCCTGCCCTTAAGGTAGTGTTCGAGTAGATTTTTGTTTGAAATTGAGGTAAGTATTAAAAGTTGCATAACTATTTTATTTGATTGGCAATCGCCGAAACCTGCATCGGGCGGTTTTAAGACCGCCCTCGTACCATCGAAATAAAGAAAGATAAATTCTAATTACCTACCCACCTGCTTGCATATTCCCCATTTAGAATATAGGATAATGCCTACAATTTTTTAAGGTCAATGTTGTCATTAAAGGCCGCTTGACATGGAGCAATACAACGCGCAAGAACTTGCAGAAAGAAATTGCAAGGTCAAATCCTTGCATGCAATAAGCATTGCATGGTATTTGACATGGTGCAATTCTATTTCAATTGCCACATGTCTGCCAACAGAAGAAACATATGGATTTGTCAACAAAGTAGTTAACCTCAAATGAAAATTAAATTTTGATTGCTTGAAGAAACGTGAAAATTACAAGAATAAATAAGATTAATAAAAACAAGTAATGAGTGCGTCTCTCTAGAATTGCACGATTCATGCAAGAAAAATAGCACCGGTCCTATAAAAATTGCATGCAAGTCTCTTGCAGCAATTGATCAGCTGGCTTTGAACTGCGCATGCTTTTCGCAATTTTTCTTGCAACTTGCATGCAATTGCAATTTTTATTGCTCCATGTCAAGCGGGCTTAATACACTGTAATTATACAAATAACATGATGTTTATATTTGATTGATCATTGGTATGTAATTAACAGGTACTCTATTTAATTATAATATACTTCAAATTCAAATTATCTCCAGCTACGAATTAGAATTTAGATTGATAGATGATACTGTATATAAAGAAAAAATAAGTGTGTACCTACCTAAAGGGATGACTTGCAAACCGCGAGAAGATATGAAAATGGCTTTTAGAAAAGATAAAAATTAGGTACTATGAGCTGGCGGGTTTTTTATAGATCCTAGAAGTTGGTTTAGTCTTTAGTGTATTGACTGTAATGAATTGAAATGAAATTTTTTTCATGAGGTGATCATATTATTCAAACATATTCTAATCAAATATTTTCAAACTATTGAATATAAGATTTGTTTTATATACCTACTTTCAGGAATCTTTTGAAAACTTGGAGCACATATAAAATCATGACTGGTTCACGCACATACCTACAAGGGCTACGAAGCAACTTTTTGAAGAGAGACCTCTTTGATCAATTGAAAGCAGAAACAAGTTGTATTCTATTTTTCAAGTCTAACCTCTTTGTGAAGTTTTGTGTTTTCCATCAGGTATTTATCACATTTTTGCATTGCTTTTGTTTTATAACCTGACATATTTATGCATTCATCATCATCACACTGAACAAATTTATTTGCATTTATTTATTTGTTGAAAGTAAAATTGTTTATTGAACCATAACGTAACTGTTTATTTACTCATAACGCAACCATTTGCAATTTAAGTAATGTAAAGCCTCATTGTTTTGCATTGAGTTTTTATGAAATTTTTGCTTTGTGTGTTTTGATCATTCATTTAAGTTTGTGGAATTGGTCGTGGTCAACATAACGAAAATACACTGGCGCGTTTAATTAGTTTGGCCTTGATTAGTGTGTATCGAATTGATTTAAATAAAGTGCACTTGTGGTACGCATTCTAAACCATAGCGAAAATTATTACTATAATAGTATAAGGACAAACTGATTTGTTAATTTACTGTTATTGTAGTAAGTAAATCGGTTTTATAATGCAATATAACGTTTCCTGTGATGCTTTCTGTTAACGGCACAGTTTATAGCACTCGTTTGAGTGTAACATAATTAATAAAACTAATGCATCTGCTAGCGAAGTCGTGCTTCATATTTAACTTTTTATACTTGTTAGACGGAAGCGAGCTAACAAACTTCATCGTTTAATATCAACGGAATGCGAATAAAGCGGAGGTTGGTACTTCTAACTCTCCGTGCTTAAAAATAAAAAAGCATATATCTGAAAAGGATAGATTTCAAAGTCAAACACAGGTAATTAAACTTGAAGCCATTCCTGTTTTTGATAAAAGCTGTTGACTGACATTATCTTGTGAAATTTACGCTTTCATGGAAACATGCTGAAACTGATTCATTTTGAAAGGCAGTGGTGGACTTTTTGCCTATTGTTTGAGATCAATGGTATTCATGTTACGCGTATAATTTTAGTTATCAGCCCTCTTTCTGTAACGCAAATATTTTGCGAAACAAATCCAGCGTTGGAGGTAAATTAAAAATTTGACATGTTTTAATTAAAATCGGGTAGCACGCTGCAGATAATTAATTAGGCAGGTATCTGTGGTGTACGCGTTTAATTTATTGCTTTTGACGTGGCTCTCCACACAATTAGATGAGTAAATTTTGTCTGGTAGGTACCTAACAAAGCGATTGGTCTGACATAGAATGCAAAATATGCATACGCCCATAGTTTTAATTAGTAATTATAAAGGTATAGCAAAACAATGCAATCAAATAGTTTCGGGAGTTTGCTGTAATATACCAGCTTTATCCTTCATTTTAAAATGTAGGTACAGTGTAACAGGTAGGAAATTGAGTGGGAGAGGGTGCCCTTAGAAGAATGCATCAGCTCTTAATCCAGTACATAATAATATTATATATAAATGTTCTCTGAACCAAGTATGCTACAATTATGATCCTTGACAAGATTAAATAATCGAAAATGTGTAGAACCTTTTTTCCTTGTGCGAAACTATAACGATTTAATCTCTCAATGACGTAGCGTAATTATTGTTCACGGTATGATTACTGGTCGGAGAACCCCCGTAACATCTAAGCGGTCATAGTTATAGTTTAACTAACGCCATTTTCCGGATTCTTTTCGTGCCGGAGCGTGCATGTCCCAAATCAACAAACATGTGACGCGAAACGTCGTGGGTCTAATTACACAAATTAGTTAATCGCGTCTTCAGTAATTAGCCCTTTTTGTACACGAATTTCCACGTGGGTGAATCGCCACTGCATATCACCGTTTTTACAAAAAAAAAACCTCTTTATTATTTAGGTTTTTAGGTCTTTATTTTAGGGTTTTTTTTGTTCCCGGTGGTATTTTTGGGTCTCCTCTATATTAAGACGCCAAATTCATAAATTCGAGGATAATTCCAAGTGAAGGATTTAAAAGGACAAGAAAGAATTTACGGAAAGCTTTGACGTCGGCAAAACATCTGGAATAGGTCTAGATGGATGTAGTGGAGATCTAAATAGCCGGTTAAGGGCCTCTGAAATGCTCGTCACATTCCTTTCAGGAGTTTCATTTTCACTTCCGAGTGCTTTGGAATGGTGTAAAGGATATAGAAGGTCCTATCAGTTCCCTAAAAAGCTTTAAAAACAACTTAAATCAATCTACAAAGGCTATACAGAGCGCATATCAAACCATGGAAATAACCTTACTCATTTATGAAAGGTCTAGGTGAGACCTTAAATCCATTTGGAAGCGTATTGTAAAGTTATTTATAAATTCGGGTTCGATTTATATCAATATTTATTAAACAAAACTAAAACACTATAAAAACCGTACAATTTATATCGATATTTATATCACACACTTCGCAATTTATATTTCCGCGCTCGATCTCGTTCGGTAGTAAACTGCGATGCGATGTTCGGTCCGCAACCATTTATACACGCAAGCAATGTAAGTCGAGAACATCCGCGTACATTCTCGAATATTCCTACACACATCCCGCTATCGCGCGCGTAGAAAATTCCAGAGCGCCAAAGGCGACGTCATGTCTGGAGCGTTTCCGTTACAGTATTTTAAACGCTGTCCAAGTATTTTATAATCATTTTTTGTCTGTCTAGCGCATAATTATTTTATAAATTCTAAGATACGTGCTTATACAATGATAGGAAATACCCAAAAGCACATCGATGCTCTAAAGAGTTCTGGAAATGGCCCAAACAGCTGTAGTAGGTGATACTTCTTATAATATTATAGAAATTTGGAAGGTTTCCCAGTGCATTTTATCGCTTTCGAGGCACACATAACGCGCATTTCATCTTAAGGCTTGTCGTCCACTGGAAGCAAACACAAGCCCCTACGTTCTTACGCGACACGAGCGCCAACAAGCGACTACGCACGGTAAGAATTACATTTTAATGTAACCTGAAAGAATGTAGCTCACTAATAATTAATTTGGAAGATCATTCTGATGAAGATGATATTTTTGTAACTGATGATTCAGATTAATGTTTTCCGGTTTACTCTGCTATTCGAAGCAAAATGGCTAGTGAACGGCACCTGCGGTGTTTTAAAATCCATTACGAGATCCGAAAGGAACAACTCTTCGGTAAAAGGCTGTGGTGAATTTTGAAATTCGTGATCTGATTTTTATTATTACACAATTTGAAATATTTTTAAATTTTCTCTTGTGTTTGTGGTTTTTGTTAATTTAGTTCGTGTAGTTGTGTGGCCTATGTCAGGGTTTTTGTCCCGAACAAGGTTTCTTTCCCTGGCATCGCCTGGTGGTTTGCGTCATATATTTTATATGTTCTCGTCTTTTCTTTCGCGCAAAATAATCAATTTTTATGCAATCCCATTTGTGTATAAAAAACTGCCAGCTTTAACACCGACTGCCACCCAGATTCGAAAGTGGCGCAATACGTCCACCGATTTGACATGAAAGTAACGATGGCTCTTCTCGCGAGTATGGGGTAAGTCAAGATTGCAGTTGCTTCTCGACTGATAAAGTACTGCGAGCATGGTTATTATAACGAAAAAACAATTAAAATGATTTTTTTTAAATTTTACCTTTACGTCCAAATAATAATATCCACCTTGTCAGTCAAAGATCGCGATTTAGACAACCTGTTACAAATAACTACCGAAACATTTTTTAAGCAATTGTTCAATATAAGTCGTTTATGTAATGTGTATCTTACCCATTATCTTGCCTTATCAGGTTTCTGAACTTTAGGCACTGCAATACCACCCTATTTGCAGTAGCATGGGGGCTACTGCTATACTTACTGGACATCTCCAGTACTGTTTAACCACCACTTGTGAAAATATTTGTTTTCACATTTTTTACTTGTAAAGTTGGCTTTCTCGCCAGCATAAAGATGTAACCTTAGAATCTCATTCAAGCAAAATTTAATGCTCAATTTTAGTGAACACGACTTTTAAAGGCTGCGTTGGTTACGCCCAATTACAGAGTGACCCGCATAATGCTTTTTTAGAGGTGCCCATGCAGAAGGTGTTAAGTTGTTGTATACTACTCCGTTATTTACCTTACGAATTAGGAAAACTGCAGGAAAACCGAATTCGGAGTAGCCGGTAGAATGTTCGACACTGATCTAAGGAAATTCTCATCTCAGCCACAGATGAAAAATTCCTACCTCAGCCCAGGTTCGACACCTGACCTCCGGTTTTGTAGCCCAACGCTCTACCACTTACCGTTTAAGAGAAAGGCAAGCATTAGCTCGAAACTTCATTCTGCATGAAAAGTAACTATAAAATGAGAAAAAATTGAGAGAGCGGATGACCAGTCAATTCCATGCTCAGCGGCAACACGCCAAAATCCAAATTACGAAGATCACCGTTGTCCTTACGGGGCACTGGATGGTGAACAATCATCTGCACAACATTGGGCTTGTAGAAGAGCCTACGTGCAGGTTTTGTGGCGAGACAGATGAAACTACAGAGTAGGAGTATGTGATCTGCCACTGTGATGGCTTGATCAGAGTCAGACATCAGCAATCTGGAACCGGGGCGGATGACTTAGGCTAAACGAGGTCCTATCCTTTATTGAAAGGACCGGGCTTTGAACCTAGTTGCGAAAGAAGGAGCACAATAGGCCTTTGGTGTGCCTAAGTGCTGACTGGTCTGGCTCCTCTGACCCCTGTGAAGAGAATAGAATACATGTGAGAGCGACGAATCAAATGAACTTCTGCAATTGTGAACAAGAATCTGGCTTTTAGTAAAAAATACTCCGGTTCAAAATATTAAAAGAACAGTGAATAAAAATTATATTTTACATTACATTACAACAACACTCATAACTCTTCCTTACTTTGCCTCCAAACATCTTCATAGTAATATTCCTGCATCTTCAGGGTAATTCCGTTATCAGTGAGCCAATCATTGCACTGCTCTCTGGTCAGTGATTCCAAATTTACCCTATCCTCTTCATCGCCATCTTCATTTATAAGCACGAGTTCAGGCGAAGAAACCTCGTCCAGAAATTTAACCTCTACATTATTGTAGATAATCACATCGTCGTCAATAAAATCCCTCAATTCTTCCAAGCGGCTTAATTTACTACGGGGGCAACTTTCCACTATTGCCTTTACAATCTTCGCCGGTCTCATAAACCCGCGTTCACGAAGCAGCTGATTGCACTCCTTCCTGCTGTATTTTTCTAAATTTATTCGTTCCAATTCCTCACCATTCGCGTTCAAAAATACCAATTCCGGCGGTGCGCCACTAATAAATTCCGTTTCGACATTTATATACAACGGCACGTCTTCGAAAATGAACGAATTTACTTCGGGTAGACTGTATAGCTTACAACCGGGGCAGCTTTCCACCCTTGCCTTCGCTATTTCGCGCGTCTCGTCTTCTTCGTCGAATGAGTGACACCATGACGCGAGGACCAATAATCCAAAAATTGAAGTAGTCAGCATCATTTCGATATTGTTTTAAGAGCGGTACAACCACGTATTAAAAAAGTAGCATTTATCTTTCGTTTAGGTAAGATTAGTTTTAAAAATAGGTTTCGTTATCACTTGTATGCTGGTAGCAAATATTTCGTGCCAACCTTTACTTTTCTTGTACTAATTTAATAATCATCATTCACAACTCTTCAAATACAAAAAAATCATAATTTATCAAATAGCACAAGTGTTGAAAATGTTATATGCTTGTGTGTATGGGTGGCTTTCTATGGCTTGTAATGGGTTTGGCTGACTGAATGGTTGGTGATTATCTCGTATTAGTACGATCGGTTTTGTACGAGCCCATACAATTACCAATTTCAATAGTAATGATCATATTATGGAGGAATTATTTTTTCCAGATCAAATTCAGTACCTACTTCAGTACACACCAGTAACTAAACCAACTAAAATAACACCATGTTTTTTAAATTTATTTATTTACGGTAAAGTGGTTAACAAGGTCAGAGGAACTTGAAATGTACTTTTTCCTGTAGGTAACCTAACAATCAGGCATATTTATAATTCTGTTCTACTTTGCTCCCAAAGTTCCTCATCGGACTCATCATACATCTTGATTGGAATATCGCGGTCAACTAGTAAGTCATTGCACTCTTCCCTAGTCAACGGTTCTAAGTTAATCACTTCTGCTTCGTCGCCATCTTCATCTATAAAAATCAATTCCGGGGGAGCTCCACTTATAAATTCAGTTTTCACATTGTGGTAGTTTTTGAGATCCATATAAATGAAGTCTTTCACTTCAGGTAAACGACTTAAACTGCAACCGGGACAGCTTCTTACTACCGCTTTTACGATTTTCTTCGTCCTCACAAACCCCCTCTCTTCTAGCAACTGATTGCACTCAATCCTGGTGTACTTCTGAATATTTATTCGTTCCACTTCTTCGTCATCTTCAGTTAAAAAGACCAATTCCGATGGGGCACCGTGAATAAACTTCGTTTCGGCATCAGGGTACCGTGGCATGTCTTCATATATGAAAGTCTTTATTTCCGGTAAACTGTTTAGTTGACAACCGGGGCAACTTTCCAGTCTTACCTTTACTATGTTAGGCGATTCGGCGTGACAATCGCTAATCAATATCGCCAGAAATGCAAACAGCAGCATTGACAGGTTCATTACGTTGGTTGCTGTTTAAGACTACCTGCGTTTGGCAATGGAAAGGTAGCACTTAATCTTTTGTTTAAGTAAGATTAATATTAAAAATAGCTACGTTATCGTTCACATGTTAGTTAGTAGCAAATACAAGTAACACAAATTTCGTATACCTTTTTCAGAGATAAAAATAACATTATACAGGGTCGCTGATCTGATGGTCTGGAAACGATCTTATCGGAGAAAAAATACAAGATATAAAAAAAAAGATTTGAGGTTCTTTAATATCTAATAGGTAGATAGTAGTTATTTTAATTATACGGGGTTGGTCATAAAGGCGTGGCACACCAATATTCCATTTTTTTAATGGAACATCCTGTACATTATTTGCTATTTCAATTTTTCTTCAAATTTTGATCATAATTTGTAAGAAGAATAATTTACCCAACTGCAATCGTTTCCGAGTTATTGAGTTTTGAAAATAAAAGGGATTGAATAAAGACCATTAATTAATTACATTACGAATTTCTTTTGAAAACATTCTGTGGTTCTGAAAAGAACCGTTTATGCGCAAACATCGTGGTAGTAAATCACTCGAGACTTGCATTTGTCTGTTTGAATCGCAAGACATTTCAACATTTTTTCATTCCAGTTTCATAACTCTAGAATTTTTTTCTCTTTTTTTAAAAATGTTAGGTGGGCGGTATGTTCCGTCAATTCAAAAGTTACTTATATTTTTTGTAGAAATTAGCCATCTAATGGAAACACCCTGTATAATCGAAAAGACGCCAGAGAGCTCCCGTTACAAGGCTATGTTTAAATACCTCAAAAGCTACATTGAAACTGTGCTAAAAGAATAACTGTGTTAACATTGTATTAAAATGACAAAGCAATCAACTGCCCTTGCCTTTATTTAGTGCTATCTGTAGGATACGCTTGTGTGGTGCGAAAGCAACCCTGCAATTGCGTCAACACTTCTTTATATTTATATTTCACAGTTTTTAAAAAACAAGATCATTCGCCCTGTTTTTTAGCGCATTTTTTAAGAATTAAAAAAATGTGCTATTGTTTGCGATTTGTCCCTCCGTCCGTCCTTGCATCTGTCCGGACCCACTTCTGCCGTTTCGAACTACTTTTAGGGGAATGGTCCTAGAGTCCTTGAATTTTTTGCAGTAGGTATCCCCCACTAATTATTTCATGCGATGCTGTTTTTGAAAGTAAAACGTGCATAACTTTTACATACGACAACCAATTGGTCTCAGATTTGGCATACACATGCCTTTAGTGGTGTCAAGTTAAACTTTACAAAATAGGAGGGTGGGGCACATGTTCTACCCTTCATGGTATTCTAATGAAAGGTCTCATCGAAATAAATTGATTTGTACAAACTATAACTTTCCCTCTCATTGTATTCTAATTAAAGGTCTCAACGAAAGGAACCGTTTTCTACCAAGTACTACCCTTCTTTCTGTCCTCTTATCAAAGTACGGGGTGGAGGGGAAGGGGGGGGGGAGGAGAGTGGAACTAGTTTTAACCTTCATGGTACTCTAATGAAAGGTCTCAACGCAAGGAATTAATTTCTACCAACCATAGCCCTCCTCCTCGACCTCTTATCGTGATCGGGTATATTACCTTATACCTCAAGAACGGATTGTCGGAAGAGGGTACTATCAAAGGGCGATTGAAACGTCTGCAAGAAATATATCCATTGGTGATGTCCATACAAAAGCTATTTCGGTTAAAAAAATGCGCTTTATCTGCACAGGAGTTGTGCACAATTTATACTTGTTTATTTAGTGCTCGAGTTACAATTTTTGGGGGAGATTGTAGTATTTGTCTGAAATTCTGATTTGCATGGCGGACAGCAAGAAACGTTACTTTCGCACTTTTTTAGGCCATCTTTAAATAAAAACTCAACCTCTACTGGCTCAGGGTTATAAGTAGTTTTTTGAATAAATCAATTCATTAAGGTACTACAATCTAAACTCGCAGAAATTGTATTCGAATGAAGTGTCTAAAAATTTAAAAACAGTTTCCTATTCAATCAAAAGAGTTGTATTCCGAAACCGTAACTGTGAATCGCATTTTTGCTCAAATTTCTACTAGCCTCAACTGTTGACAATGCCAATTTAGCATTAAATTTAATGTAATGGAAAATTAAATTTTTCTCCTATTTCTGTACTCTAATTAATTACAAATCATTTTTCTCTTTCTCCTTTGGTTTGGTGTACGAATTTAATTTTTTTTATGGGATAGCTCTACCCGTGTAGGGGCGGGAAAGAATACACCTACCGTAAAGAGCGCTGCGAGTCGTAAAAGGCGACTAATCAATTACAACGGCATTTATCACTTCTATTAAGTAAATTGGCCACTTTATTCGACAATTTCAATAATGCTTATTCAAGTCGGCCGCAACTCCCAGTAATAGGAAAGTCAAAATGCTGGGAAGTATCATGGTGGCTTTTTAACCGGGGTGGCCGATTATTTTTGCTAAAAAAAGATTTGGATGGTATGATCAGCGACGGACCTATGGGGGGGGGGGGGCAGGCTGCCCCTCCAATACTTAACTAGTTGGCAATTTTGGCAAAAGTTGGTATTGCACAGGAAAAGTTAATAACCTATTTACAGAGGTGCAGGTGCTATATATGATAAGATTATATACTTAGGTAATGGATACTACCCATTTGAATTAGAAATTTTTACAGTTGGAGTTGGCAAAATGTCATGTCTGCCCCACCACTTTTTGTCTAGGTCCGTCCCTGCGTATGATTGGGTCTGTAGTGAGTGGCTGAAATTAAATGGATAGGATTTATTAACCTATTGGTGTCCCTTTTATAGAAATTAAACGACAAAAGGATTCTATTTATAGAACATCAAACTTGCGTACAAAGCAAAATTGGAATATAATCGAGAATACAAGCGGGATGAGGTTTTTGATTGATAACGCCGGTAAAATAAGATACCGCGCACTTGAACGAATAACAATACATTTTAATACATGTAGATCACAATCTTAAATTCACAAAAGGAAAAGGTGGTTTTACATTTTACAAAAGCCATACTGAATAATACAAAATATATTTACCAATTCTACAAAAATACGGTTGTAGCCAATCTTGTTTTGTTACATTTGTCGTTTATCACAGTAGACGTTTAAGTAGGCACTTTCCTAAATTTTGTAACATACGTCTTTATTTACTATTCATGGCTTTTAAATTACTTTCGCTTTTATAGAGACGATCGCATATGTAGAACTTAGAAGTTTGAAAATTCATTAGTTGAGAACCGTCGATATTGCAGCGGATTGATAGTGCGATAGAATATTTCGACTAGTAGCTGTCATTTTAACGATTAATTCACACATTCCTGCGACTTTCCAGCTTAAGAAGCCCATTAGTCCAATAAATTGAGGACTAAACTTTAGCTGGGAAAATATCAGTGTGATAACCTGATAACAAAGGAAAACTCCTCTCATTTCTAGGGTATTACATAATAACGTATTATACATCTCACTGTGATTAAATGTGATCATTATAGTAATTATATCGGAATCGTCTGAATGAGAAATTCGCATTTCATGTCACTCGCTTTGTATTTGCATTTCCCAAGGATTTCAACGTTTGATAACGTCAAGTCTATAGGGCAGACGTCAAGTTTGGTGTATACCCCCGTAACTAATGGGTTTAAACAAGTACCTGCTTTTAAGTGAAACATTGTAAGCCCTTCCTTAAAGTTCTCCTCGAGTACCATTCCAGAGGTAACGTGGTTCAATAAAGAATGGGATTGTTTAAATTACCTATCAGCATTTCAGTTACCTAGCTGTTATTTTGTGAACCCCCGAGTTAAACATTTTATTGCATTTTAGCTCCATTAGATAACTGACACATTTTCATAAACAATTTCTACTGTATGGCCAAGAGAGTGAAAAAAAACTTTCACATTCATGTAGATCAAAGGGTTTTAATTTATTTTATTTGTTTATAATATCAAGAAGAAAATCATAGAAGGGGTCAATATATTTATTGGTTTGTTTATTAAAAACTATCACCCATCAGTGTTTGTTTTACGAGAAAGCAAGTCGAAAAATCCGGTTCTTGAAATTAATTTTCAGGAATAAGAAAGCTAGCTGTTGGTCAAGTATCCATTAATTTTTTACTAAAGAGTTTGCGAGTTTACTTAAAAATTCGAAATCTTCATTCAAGAATCCTATCTGAAGCGAGCTTTTACAGAATTACTGGCGGGTGTCTCTGAAAACTCTTTAATTAATAATATGCATATTTTATGTTGTCCTGCAGCAAATTGATTGTTCTTTTCAAAGATCTCAAAATTCATAGGCCTTGCATTTGAAAAACAAAAGTTTCCTCCAATTCCGGTTAAACAGGAAGTTTTAATATGCGATCGGGTAGATATTGTAATGTCATATATAAAATTACATTTGACAAATTTGGTATCTCGCCAAACAAAAAAGATATTGATGTGACCCTCTTTTCTCGAACACACTGTATGAACGAAATTGGAGTTCCATTCAAAAGGCATCAGAAAACAGATGTTTATGACAAGGCAAAAGATACCACCAAATACAATTGAATGAATTTACAATTTTAATTTTTATAACGTGTACTTAGTTTCCAATTTATAAAGAAACCTGATAGGAGGAAAACCACTAGATATAGGTTTATAGGGAAATTATGGTATGCTTTTGGAGAGTATAAAAGGATTTTGAGCAGAGTATGAGAAAGATTTGACGGAAAGTTCAGAATTCCCGAGGAACTTAACAAGAAAGTTAAAGGATCTATAAATATGTGGAGAAGGACCTTTAGACCAAATTGGAAAAAAAACTTCCATGAAGAAATTTAGCAATGTTTGAGGAGCTTGAGCTTCATAAAGATTTGATAGGAAGAATTTAGAGAAACTTTAAAGAGACATTTAAAAAGAACATGGAATTTTAGAGGGCTTTGATGGAATCTTGAAAGTAATTTGATGGGAATTTGGGGGAAACTGAAGAATATCTTGAATCGAAGGTGATAACAACTGAAAGGGGTTTTGAGAAA